GGTGGTGAGGGAGTAAGAGATAAACTAAAGGACTTGTATGCATACATATGAGCATAACCAATGGACACAGACAGGGGGTTGGGGGGGTCGTCCAGGGAGAGGTCAATGGGGGAAAAAGGAGACTTATGTAATACTTTAAACAATAAAGAATTTAAATAAAAAAAAATCTTTTATTGATTTTAGAGAGCAAGGGAGAGGGATAGAGGGAGAGAAATATCAATTGGCTGCCTCCTGCATGCCCCCTACTGGGGCTCAAGCCCACAGCCCAGGCATGTGCCCTGACCCGGGGCTGAACTGGTGACCTAAGACCTAACTGGAGACCTTTTGGTGCATGGGATGATGCTCAACCAACTGAACCACACTGGCCAGGGCTGCATTGATGTTTTTATTTTGAAAGGACACATAAAAGTTTTATAGTCTTCTGTGGGCAGATTAGTCAAATGAGAGAAAATATCATAAATATTCAGAAAACATTTAGATCAAGCCCCCCCAAAATCATTCTTAACAATGATTTCTTTGAACAATGCAAATAGCTTGCTCAGCAGAGTAAAAGTCCCAGGAAATAAAAAATTGAGCTTTTATCAGGTTTTTGCTTCTACAGAAGATTTTAGCAATATATTGTGAGCAAGGAAAGTACTCAATTTCCAGGACCTACATTTTTTTGGCATTGTTGTTGTTTTACTGGAAAAGAAAATTTAATTCTGAGAAACATCTTTTTCACTGGCCTACCCAGAGCAAAGATTCAGCCTGAGTGTCATTAGCAAATTGGGGCATTTTCTCAACCTGCTCTTGCCTTTGGCTCTCATGCTGAATTAGGAAGCCAGAACTTTGATTCATTATTTTAACGCAACATTTTATCCTTTTTGGAGGTGAAGTGTTCTTTTGAAAAGGAATTTAAGACCTTATTAAATTCGCACGACCTTATAAAAGTAGATTACATTCCTAATTCTCTTTTATACTGACACTCGTAATGTTATACTTACTAGTTTATTATAAATGTAGTTGTGGCTATTCAGTGAAACCAGGAGGTAAATATTAAAACATAACAGAGCTACAACTCACCTGACTTCCGGTTTGGGTATGATCCTGCATAGCTTCTTATGATTCTGGGATGACTTGATTAGGTTGCCTGAGGCAGTTCAGGAGAAAGATACTGACAACTTTCCTTTTCTTCTTTACGGATAAGTTATCAGTGCCTCTCCTCATGGAGTAGCTCCCGTTCTTTTTAATCCAGTTAGTTCTCCCACCTCCCTTTTAATCACGACAGTTCAGGAAGCAGAGTGTCCCCAGGCCTGTTAAGGAAAAGCAGCAAGGACCCCAGGAACGAGCCGTTTGTAATTCCATCGTCTCTTAAGCAGCTGCTACTCAGACACATCAGATGCTTTAGCATTGGAATGCCCACAAGGCTGGGAAGCTTTCTTTTGGGGAGGAGGGCTGATAAATATTAATAGACTATAATCCTTCATTAATAAAAATGAAAATCCATCCACGGCTGTACAGCTCGTGAAGTGGCCACCAGCCACCTGGGAAGACTGTCGTCCAAATTGGGATGTGCTGTAAGTGTAGAAAGCACACGGGGTTTTGGAGGCTTCATTGGAAAAGAAAAATGTAAAAATCTCTCATTAATCTATTTTATATTGATGACATCTTGAAATGATGACATTTGAGATATGTTGGGTTAAATAAAATACATTATTAAAATGAATCTCATCTGTTTTATCTTTTTTTTTTAAATGTGGCTGCTAGGAAATTCAGGCTCACATTGTATTGCTCTTAGAGAGTGCTGTCCTAATGGCAACAGAAATACCATATTTAAGCGCTGTGATTTTAACAGTTCTCGTAATGCTCTGGGTGTATGTATCCAGTATAATAACAGGTTTCCTGTGTTTTTGGTTCCTTAAGGTTGAAATCAGCATTCAGAGCAACTTCCAGCCTGGGATGAAATTGGAAGTGGCCAATAAGAACAACCCAGACACGTACTGGGTGGCCACTGTGATCACCACCTGCGGGCAGCTGCTGCTTCTGCGCTACTGTGGTTATGGGGAGGACCGCCGGGCTGACTTCTGGTGTGACGTGGTGATAGCAGATCTGCACCCCGTGGGGTGGTGCACGCAGAACAACAAGGCCCTGATGCCTCCAGATGGTAAGCTCCCAGCTGGCCCAGGATTCAGAGCTTCTGGGTTTACAGGCCGTCCTTATTCATGGTGTTTGCAGGTATAACCTTGCAGAAATTCCATAGTGGATTTAGCGGGAAGGTCTAGCACTTTAAAGATTGCCTCCTGGGTTTCATTAGTTTGAGGGTGCCAGAGTGAGAGGGAACTTGGGTGCATTCTTGGATGTCAGGGCTGTTCCTGACAGCTGAGCCAATCATGGCCTTTAGGAGACAAAAGCTCAGGAGCCTGATTTTGGAGGTAGGAGAGGAGGCTGAGACTGAGGTTTCAGTTTCCATTGCCGATGGATTATGTTGCATTTCTTTTGCTTTAGAGATTTCACATTTTGAACAGTGCTGTAGAGCATCTGTAGGATCTCTCTAAGTTTTCATCTTTCTTGTTGTGGGGAGTCTCTCAGGGTGGATGCACGCAGAAACCAAAGAGGAGGCATTCAATAAAACAGTGGCAATTTTACCCCCGGTGGACATGTGGCAATGTCAGGAAGCATTTTTGTCTGTGAGAGGGGAGGAGGAAGGAGCTCTTGGCATCTGGTGGGAGGAAGCTAGGATGCTGCTAAAATATCCTACACTGTAGCGGACAGCACCCCAACGAAGAATTATTGAATTCAAACTCCAATAGTTGAGAAACGCTGCTTTAGAGTGGGCAGCATATTACAAATGCATTAAAGGAGCTCATATGATCCTGTCAGTGAGAAAAACTGAGTCAGCCAATATTTGAACAACCTATCCTCGATGTTTCATTATATGATGACGGCAGCAGTTATATTTGAAGACTTCTGATGCTAATTCTCAAGTGTGATGTCTTCTTAGTACTTGTCTGCCACTTTTAGCTTTGAATGGATATTTTTATTTCAAAGTGACATGTTAAGTTTTAGAGCTGAATTCCAAGTTCATTGTGTCCACCATATTTAGTTGCTTTCACCATTCAGAGCATTTGAATTTTATCTTCTTATGTTCTGAGATTTTGTTTTTTGATAGGTGGGAATGGTCAATGGTTTCTTACTCCCCCTTTTTATGCATAATCGAGAGCCTGATAAATAGTGGGGGTCATAATAAATGCAAGGAGTTTGAGTTGCGTTAATGGGTATATGTCAGGATTGAAGTTGTTGCCTTGGCCATAGCTAACACCATGACCTTTTGTTGTCTCAGGAGAAAGAGAGAAAGGCCCTTCTTGCTTTGGGTCTTTGCACCTGCTCTCTCCTGTGCCTACACCCTCTTCTTCCTCCAGCTGGCAGCTTATCTTACCCCTTCCTCAGGCAACTGTGGTCAAGGACTCCTGTGCCCTTAATGTTGATCATATTTGCAACTGTGCCTTCCATTGATTTAAAAAAAAAGAGATATAATTCACATACTATCAATTCATCTCTATAAAGCTCAGTGGTTTTTAATATAGGCACCAGGGTGTGCAGCCATTATCACTGTCTAATTCCAAAGCATTTCCATCATCTCATAAATAAGCCCTGCACCCATTTACAGTCACTCTCACTCTCCCCTCCCCCCAGGACCTGGCCCTAATCTACTTTCTGTTTCTGTAGACTTGTTTATTCTGGACATTTCCCATATATGGAATCGTATAGTGTGTGGCCTTTTGTGTTCGGCTTCTTTTACTCAGCATTTTGTATTCAAAGCTCATCCATGCTTAGCACGTATCAGGACTTCATTCCTTTTTATAGCTGAATCATATTCCATCATATGGATCAACCACATTTTGTTTAACCATTTGTTAATCGGTGCGCATGTGGGTGCAACTGTTCTTTGAATTGTGTGGTTCTTTAAATAGAAAACTCCTTTCCCCTCACCCCGCCCCTTTTTGTATTGGTTGTGTCTTTGTATACAGAAGTGTGAGTCTTTATTTCTCACCTCTGTTGAGGGTTACTTCTCAGGTGAGTGCTGGAGAATGGTGTTAATGCATGAGGCTTTATTTTTCACACCTGTTCTAGTTCTGCAAGAGCAAATAGTTGGCTGAACATTATCTGTAATGCCTTTGGTAATGCTTGCTTCTCTTAGTCCCAGGCTCAGCCTAAATTGTGCCATTAGTGGGAAAATTAATTAATTTATTTTTACTCTTTTTACAAAATTTTAAGTGTACAGTACATTATTGGTAATTATAAGAAGAATGCTGTACAGCAGATCTCTAGAACTTTTTCATTCTGCATGACTGAAACTTTATACCCATTGAAGAGTAACTCCCCATTTCCCCTTTCCTAGCCTCAGGTCACCACCATTCTACTCTGTTTGTGAGTTTGAAGGCTTTAGATGCAGAATCATGCAGTGTTTGTCCTTTTGTGACTGGTGTATTTCACTTAACATAATGTCCTTAAGGTTCATCCATGTGGTAGCATGTGACAGGATTTCCTTTTTAAAGGCTGAATAATATTCCATTTGGCTTTGAATGCAAACAGCCACTAAGGTGAGAAGATATAACATGCAATAATTTAACTTACCTGTGATTTCTGATCTGTCATAGAGTAAACCAGTCTCGATGGATGAATTGTATGGATGGAGTATTGGGAAAATAGCAGTTGTAGTTAGAAAATTAGACTAATAATTCTCATTTGCCCAGCTCTGCACGCAAAGGCCATGTAGATATGCCCCTACACTCTCAGGAGGGTACAGACAGACATGCATTAATTGCAGGGAGCTGATACACACTTGGGGGCACCGGGAGAGGGGAATGCAGGAGGGAACCAAGAGGCAAGTCCCCACTCTCTGTCCTTGCTTGTCTCATTCATGCATGACTCACTCTGAAAGTTTGACAATATAGTAGCTAAACGTCCTTGGAAAAGATGTGAGATGGCGTCACGTTATAGATCATTTAGTGAATAGTTTTAGAGAGAAGTTCCATGGCACTGAATTTTAAGACTCTAAAGAGCTAAAGGGTTCACTCGGTAAACATCCATGCTGTTGCTTGAGAAAGATGGTGTAGTTTATTAATTGATTCTTCTTTCTCACTTGGATGAAAAATGTGGCAGCAGTCACAGTTTCAGAAACACTGTCAAATTTGTATCCTACTGACTTCCTGCTATTAGGCAAGACACAGACACACTTAACATGACAAATTCAAAATGAAAAATGGGGAAAAGCCTGTAAAAAGGGAAACCACTAATGTGACTGGAAGATTGGAAGGCTTTTCACAAGGTAACAAGTTATGCTAATTTTGAGAATTTCTCTATTGCTCATTTTAAAGAACTTAAAAAAAATTTAGTAGGTAATCAATATGCCTTGGAAATCTTTAGTGCAGAGAACAAAGTCAGGAAATAGCAGGTTCACAGGGCAAAAGGTTTTATTGATTGCTGCAGTACAGGATAATTATTGCTTTGTGGCTAGACAGCACTTGTTCCACTGGGAATTGTAGACTATTTTTGAAGAAGGATTCTTGTTTCTGTGGTTTTCTGTCTTAGAGAGCTAATATCATTGTGAATTCCGCAAATGTACCTGGTTGATCTTTCTGGTGGTTAAACTTGAAAGGCATCTCAGAATATTAACATGAGTTCAAGCAGTCCATGACACATAATAGTCTTGTTTGGAATGTTCTATGGTGATAGGTTTCTTACTGATCCCAGGAATTGGGGTGGGAGAGTGGGTTGTATGAAGAGAGGAACATTGCCGTTGGAGCCAGGACCTGAGATGCTTATCTTGCTTCTGCCATTAGCTTAGCTACATGGGTGAGTCCCCTCCTAATTTTTGTATCTTTAAAATGAAGTTAAAGTATAAATATAATCTCTCAAGAGCTTTCTAGTCTGACATGCCCTGGTTTGTGATCCTTGTCAAAGAAAGGAGGAGGGAGAAGGTGCTACTTTTCCTACTGTATGCATGAGCAATGGAATTTGTTTTGGAATTACGGTCTATGGAAATCTAGCCCAGGCATCAGTACGAAGTACGGAAGTACAGCTCCTAGGTTACTGTTGGGGATGATGAAGTTTCAATGGATTGAGGGCCAAACTAGGTTGGGAAATTACTGTGAGTGCCTGGGTCCATCGTTGCTGGCAATGGATAGCTTTTTGCTCACTCATGATTGTAGACTGAGAAAAATCAGCACAAGTAGAGTTGAGTCATTCAGTATATGGAGGACAGCTTCAAAATATGGTTGGACCAGGAAAGATGATGGGAACTTGGGGTGATTTGGGGCAGAGAGAGGGGGTTGCCTTGCATGGTCAGACTGAGGTTGCAGCGCATAAGATCTTTCAAGATGTTTGGGATTGTTCAAAATTGTCTTACTCTTCTGAAACCATTGCATTGAAAGAGACTTGTTTTATTATTTTCGATGATAGTTTTACCAAACATGTAACCTTCCTTACAGTCCCATATTTTCCTGCCTTACTCCTTGAACTGAACTTAGCCTTTGAATTAACATGAGCCATCATTATTATTTTAAACTAGAGGCCCGGTGCATGAAAATTTATGCACTGAAGGAGGGGGGTCCCTCAGCCTGGCCTGCTCCCTCTCACAGTCTGGGAGCCCTCAGGGGCAGGAGGTGACCCGGCGATCAGGGGTAGGAGATGCCCCATCACACCTCTGCTGCTGCCACTGCCAGCAGCACAAGCCTCAGTCAGCCCTGGTTACCTGAGCCTCGGGCGACCCTGGGCGGCTGGGGGGCTGAGGAGACTGGGGGTATCTGGAGGCAGGCGTGCAGAGTGGCTGTGGGCACCGCCATCTTTGAGGGCATGGCAGTCAATTAGCATATTCCCTCCTTATTGGCTGTGGGCACCACCATCTTTGAGGGCATGGCAGTCAATTAGCATATTCTCTCCTTATTGGCTGTGGGTGCTGCCATTGTTGTGACAGTGTGAGGGTCAATTAGCATATTCCCACTTTATTAGATAGGATGTTATGAGGAAGGAAACGCACAGCAGCAGACAGAATACCACTAACAAGGGCGTGTTTAAAGAGACCTGGGTTTAGTGGCCAATTGGCCATTCAAAGAGCAGTGTTTCTGCTCCTGAGCTAATCAGTATTAATCTTTTCTATTAAAA